CTCAGGGTAATGCTGTTCTTGAACACTGAGCAGATGGTAACTTCAGCATGATCACTTCTAGACAACACAAATAGAAGCATTTATCTGTAGCTCATTGAGAAATGGGAGAGGACACACATGTTTTAGCATTAAGGTTCTCCCCCAGTTCAGTGGGGACCAACTTTTCTAATGAAAGAGGTCTGTTACCATTAAAAATGGCTTCTTAAGCATGGCTAGTAGGAAAAGGAGTGCTTTCAAGATGCTTTTAAATATAACTAAGGAGTGTTAGACACTCAGAATTGAGGCTAAGACATGTCTCAGATGTTGTGATTCAGATTTTTCTTTGAATAACTTTTGCAACTCTTTCCTTTTACAGAGTTTGTACAAATGATGACAGCGAAGTGAAGACGTTGTACAGAATGTGTTAAATTTCTTGTACAAAATTGTTTATTTGCCTTTTCTCTGTTTGTAACTTATCTGTAAAAGGTTTTTCCCTTACTGTCAAAAGAATATGCATGTATAGTAATTAGAAGGCCATTCCTCCATGTTTTTCTCCTTTATCTTACTGTCATTGTTCTGATTTTTGGAAAATTGATCAAAGTAACAAATGTTGCATGTGGCTTACTCTGGATACTTAAGCCCTTCTGCACATCTAAAGTTAGATGGATTGGTTAAATGAGGGAACATCTGGGTTGTCTGTTTAAAAAATAGCTTTCTTTAGGAGACTTAGGTATGACTAATGTAGCAAGTTACATAAGGCAAGTTAGGATTTATTGTGCATTAGCTATTCCTTAGTTAAAGCAGCATGCTGGCTCTAGTTCTCAAATACATTAAAGATAGTTTGCTCTGCTTTCTGTGATGAGGATTCTCAGCACTTACGTGCAGGATTAAACCATGTGAACAGTACCTAGTGAAGTGGCTAATGCGCTGTAAAAAGCCTCTCCTAACTTGCTTCATGGTAACTTGTTTGTGGCCATACCTGTAACATGTTGTTGAAATGTGGAGTCTTAACTTTGTTGGACGATTGACAGTCAACAATATGAAACTTAAAAGTTGCACTAATGCAAAACGGGTGTATTATCCAGGTACTCGTACACAATTTTTTTGTACTGCTGGTCCTGTACCAGAAAACATTTTCTCCTCTTGTTACTATGCTTTTTAAACTTTGTTTAGCCACTTATTTTCAAAAATCTGCTTATGGCACGATTTGCCTCAAATCCATTCCAAGTTGTATATTTGTTTTCCAATAAAAAATTACAATTTACCCATACTGTTTCAATGTATCCTTGAATTATTTACAGAATTTGTTCAATACAGTTGCTGCTCTAATGTTTCAGTATGTAGCAGTTTGGTTTGCTTATGCAATGGATTGGCTGTCTTAAAATAGCTTGGAAGGTGAAAACTTAGACCTTAAACTCTGGCCCTTAATAGTATTGTTGACTTGGAGAAGCTTTCTTACTAGTAGTTTAAAATGTATTTTACAGTTTTGTGTGGAGCTTGGTGCTTCAATAAACTTACCGTAGTGACTGGTTATGCCCACTATTTGTAGAAATTGTGAACTGGATGTTGACCTAGTTCAATAGTTGACCTAAAATTAAAATTCCTTGTTCAGACAACTAAACCTGTTTGCTTTCTTTTAATTATTTGGAGTTTATTCCCTATCATGTGGTACATTGGGGTGACTTAGTATCGCATCTGGACTTTTCTGAAACCGCTATGTCAGTCCTTTGCTTTTCAGGGTGCAATCAGCCTGAAGTATGTAAGAAAAACTTTTTCCTGATCTCCTAGTGCCAGTAGCACAGTAGTTTGTGGTCACAGGTTTTAAAGCTTTTGATTAAAAAAAAAAAAAAAAAACCTGTTTTCACTGAGGATGAGTCCAAGATCTGAACAGCATGCCAGATATGGTGTGCCATGTGCTTTGTACTCTCCAGGCAAGAACTGGGTAGTCTTACACATGGTGTTTTTGTTAGGCCTTCTGGCTGCCTTTAAACAAAGCACTGACCCCTGTTTTCTGGTAACCCTCACAGGTCCCAGCAGAGCAGTTTGCTAGTGTTTTACAGCTTTTATAGCATCTGTGGGATGTTAATAGCAAAATTGGGCAACTGATAACCCTGTTTTCAGAGACACTAGATAAATTGAGTTTATGGTGGCCGAACCTCAAAAGACCCTGCTCAGCTGATCTCCTTTGGCATCAGAGTTTAATCTTAGAGGGGCTTGTTCACTTGCTGTTGGATTCAGAAGGTATGCAACTTAAATATAATACCTCTGGTCACTCCTTTTGTAAGGAGCAAGCCATAACAAGTGACCCACCTATTTCTTATCCAGCCTTCCTGTGACCTAGCAGGCTGGACATAGGACACCAGCTTTTAAACTCTCGTAGTATAAGAAGAGCTTGCAACACTTCAAATGCTAGATCTTGGGAGTACTGAATGTGACCTTCTTAAGAGGTAAGTAATGCAAATGGAGGTCTGATGAGGCTACATTTGCTTGTCAGCCCAGTGTTTTGACTTTCAGTGGCCTGATAAGGATATTTTGAACCAGCACCTTCAATTTGTCATGCCTGTGGAGGTGCCTCATTTCTTAGGGTTAAGAGGGAGGAGGGCTCAGTTAAGACTGCTTTGGCTAAGGCAGATACCTTTCACACAATAAATAAGTTTATTTGAAAGAAGGCACCTTTTATTTATGATCCCCCATTTTTGCTACCCCCTATTCAGTGTTTCGTCACAAGAATCCAAGATGCATTTTTAATGCATCTGTGGCTGAGAATGCAATGGCTCATACTTTCTAGGGTCAGCATTGAAGTCACCTAACCCTATTTTAGCTGATACTTTGTTCCAAAGAGCTTGGTAACAGAACTAAATCGAGGCTAGTATTGGCTCAAATATGGTAAAGCTTCTGCTCCCTGCTACACCAGCAAGAACAAAACTTGTGTAGTATAACATTGTGGTAAAACTTCCAGTGCTGCTTAAACCTTCTAATTTATAGGGTGAGGCTGTGAAATGTGGCTAAGAACTGTCCTTAAGTGATGGTGTCACTAAGTCACAATGTTCCTATGGGTGCAATAGAAGGATGGCTGTGGCAGAATGCTATTCAGTAGCCCTCCCCAGCAAAAGCAGCTAAGCAGCTGCTGCTGCAGCCTGGCATGTCTTGACAAGGATCCTGTAACTTGTTCTAAGTGGTGATGGGAATCATCAAACAGGATTATAGGCAATTTGTAATGAGAGGTGATCCTGGGACACTATGGACCTCAAGCCAAGTCTCAGCCTGAGGTCAGATTCAGCAGTGCAGCATCAGTGTCTGAGCTTTCTTGAAAAGGTATTTTCCTAATCGGTTGTGCTTGTGTGGGATTTCCTAAGGGATTTCCTGTGAGGAAATAGCTGCTTGGGTGAGGAAGCAGCTCAGGAGCTTGTGGTTGCCTGTTGAGATGTAACTAATAAAATAGTGACAGCCCAGGGACAAGGCAAGAAGTGAGCAGAAGGCTGAGGTAAGGGCAAGGTAAATGATTTGAGGGGGATAATAGCTCTGGAAGTAGAAGAGCATAAAACAGCAGCTCAGGAGCTGCCTGTACCTGTGTGAAACAAGGACTACGTGTGGATCCAAGGGCTGGTGAGCAACAAGGATGTGACTGCAGGGATGAGATGGGGAAGCTTGCGCTGTAGCACAGCGGTCCCTTGCAGGGGTTGCTACTTAAGCTGGGTGTAATGAGTAGTGAAGTGACTGATATGGGTATGTGTAATACTTTTATAATTAGCTATATACCATCTCTCAGATAACCCTGACCAAATTAAGAGACAAGCTATATTGAACTGTTGCTCACCCAGCATCTGTTGTATAAGTAGTTTCCTTGGCCCAGAATTAATCATCATTGCCAGGCATTGGCAGTAAAAGATAGAAAAAACAGCCAGGGATGTGGTCACATTTCTTATTTAAGTACTGAAGTGTTTTTTCTCATCAAAGTCTCATTCCAAGAGTATGTGAAATGAATTTTAGTAATACAGACCCCTTAACTTCTGTGAAGTGAATCTTTAAAAGTAACCATACTCTTACAAATGAGAAAGTAGATATTTAAGATGGCAATGGAGATAATGGTAGTATAATCTATTTCTAAGAAAGCTGTGAGCCAAAAGGGATAGTAGTTGAAATACCATGAGTACTGCACAATAAATCTGCGCTTCTTGACAGAACACTGAAAAGGAGAGAGAGTCAACTTTGGAGCAGAGAGAGAGATGGTGGAGAGTTTACCTTAGAGTATGTATATTTTTACCTCATAAACTCTTTTCCACTTTACACCTTGTGACTGGAATGAGAACCCTTGCACATGTGCTTTATTTCTTGATTTCTTACTCGTTATTCACAACAATAGTCACACTTTGTCAGGTTACCCTGTATTTCTGGCGCCCTGAGTCGCAAATGGGTGTGTGCACACTAAAATATATGCCTTGTTAAGGACTTGCAATAAACCTGTGAACTAACATTCAGAATGATCCTTTATTTTCATTTTCTTTTAATTTTAAGGGCAGGCAGTATCACCTTTGCATTATGTAAATTGCTGTTTATTTTGGAATTGAGGCTTCTGTCCTGTTTTTCCCTTCCTAAAACAAACTCCACTTCTTTGGGAATATGCAAAACAGAAGACTTTGGTGCCTCGAACTAGAGAGCCTTGAGATAGCACTTAAGGAAATGGCACAAAAAATCTAGTGCCAAGGGAATACCTTAATTTTTGAAAGACCTAAAAGTTTGGGTAAAAATAACTGTAACATCAATAAGCACTCTATTAATGAAGAAGAGCTCTTCAGTTTAGTGGGTGATACAGGAATACAGAATGGCAGATAGATCCTGCTATAAAATAACCATGCACAGGATGTCGTGCAGTAATGACAGCACAGGGGTGGGTTGCTTATTTTGGGAAGAACTGAGCTGGAAAAAAGAATGAACAAAGGGCCAGGGAAAAGGGAGGATGAAGGAATATGAAGTTTGAAGAGGATCACAGCTCTCCCTGCAGCCTCCCTTCCCTAGCCTTTATGTTGGCCACCTTATGGGGCCGACTGGTCGACATCGTGGTCACTGCTCAGTCCAATGTTCCTCTGTGTGAGCAGCCCCTGGTGCAGATCCCCAGTCTGCTCTGTCCTTGCCTGGTACCAGAGCACCATCTAAAAGGCACGTGCTGCTCCTTGGGGATCAGAGACAAGGCAGCTCATCAGCCTGCGAGGGGGACGCTGATGCTGGTGCTCTCCGCGCCTAGAAGGGAAGGAATCAGATCTTCATTTAAGAAAACACCACTGGTAGTTTTTCAAGCATTAGCTAAATGGAATGCTTTGAGAAAGATCCATTTGAAACTTTTGGTATCCATAGTGGAAGGACTTCTGTTAGCAATATTCACTTGCATTAGGCACTCCTTCAAGGTCTAACTGGAAACCCTAAGATCAGTGAAGAATTTCAATTAATTCAAAATGCCTTGAACATGGTTAAAAATAAAGCTTCTTAAAGGGTTAGGGTGAATGAAAATTTCCAAAAATATTTGGAATTGATTCACAAGACATTCCTGCATCATAAGAAATTTTGAAGTTTCCTTTTTTAATATGGTAGAAGTCAGAAGGGCTGCAGAAGAGGGTTTGCCTCTACAACTTTGGGAATTCTAGGAGCTTTCCTGGAATTAATATTACTGTATAGGTGTTACATTTTTGAAAAGCTACCCAAAATCAAAGGTGTTTTGTGGCTTTTTTCCTGCCAGACAATTTAACAGGTGGATTTGCAAGTGCTTCTGAAAGCAATGGCAAACAAGCACTCTCCCTGATTCTCCCTGCTATTTCAGTTGTTTGTTATTCCACCATTAGGAAATATTTTCTTAATTTTTGAGCTGGAATGTGGCAGCAAGGCAAAGTTACCCCTCTGTGCTAGCTCCTCCGTGCCCTTCAAAACACTTGAAAACACTCGTGCTAGAGCAGCTTAACCTCAGCACAACTGGACTGGTGCTGTGCAGGGTTTCTGCAGGCAATGGCTTTCCCTAAAGCCTTGACAAACCTTTTGTGGTTCTTTACTGGGCTGGGGAGAGACACTGCGGCTATATAGCACTTGTATTAAAAAAAAATTAAAAAATCTTGGAAGGTGGGGGTGGGCGGGACCTGATGTAGTTCTATCTCCTTCTCCTGGGTAGCTTCCTCCCTCCGCCTTTTCCATGGGACTTCCCTGTGTTATCCCCCTCCCTACGGAAGGTTCCAGTAAGGAGAAACATCCCTTCGTGATTGTCAAGAGCCATCACAGGATGGCCCCAACTGCTGTGCTGTTTTGACACTGTTTTCACCCAAATTACATCTAAGGATGGGTTTTACTGCTAAGGTTCTGACAAACTTTGTTTGGCTACTGAAAAGAGCTAAAATGCTTGTTCAATGTCCTTACTGAAGAGTAATCTGCTACAAAAGCAGTGAAATTAGAGTATATTGTTTGAGGGGAAGGTTTCCTAGATATGGCTCTTACTTGTCCAGATCAGGCTGCCTCCTATAATAGCAGTTAAAAGAACATTTTTTACTTGTTGGCTAACAGAGCACGCGGGAAGGGTCTGTCTGAAGTCCCTGTCCCGCAGGAGGGAACGGTGCCTCCTTGCTGTCCGGGCAGTGCTCGCAAGCAGCTACCGAGGCCGTTTGCTGAACAGTCTTCAGCAAACGGGGAGTTTTCAGAGAACATCTGGTGCAACTACATTTTATATCAGAAACAGGCAGAAAATGCCTCCAATATCGAACTCTGCGTTTATTTTCTTCAGCCCTTACCAAGCCTCCTCTCCTGTACGTAATCAAAGTACGATGTTTTCACTGAAAATGCCAGTAGTTCCATTCACTATTAACAAAGTAGGATAAAAGGAGTCGTTCAAATAGTGTCCTCCACTTTAATTGCACTTGTTTCCTCAAAGTGGAGCGGCAGACCTTAAAAATTTCCTTGCTGACCTGGTTCAACGCTGGGGAACACTCATTTCTTTCCAGGTTAAGAGGCTTCTCTTAGCCTGCAAACACGTCACGCCCTAGCTCTGGACTGATTAGCTATGTCAGTAATTTTCATTAGAAAACACACCCCTCCATTTTTAGTAATTCACTGGTAAAACAATTAGGGTCCAAAATCAGCATGTGTTTCCACCAGTCTTTGAGTACCATCTTAATTAAAATAAAACTTGAAATGAGAATTTGCACTTACACTGTCTTTGGAGGAGAAGCTGCACAAAAATCTCACCTACGTTTTGTCCCAAGCAGCCAACGCCAACACCAGGCACGTACGCGGTCCGAGACTTCCTTCAGGAAGCCCAGCTCAACCCCGTGAAGCCCACGTACAGCTTCAAAGGAGAGGGCAGAAGGAGAACACCCATCTACGAGCGAGCAGCCGATAACTCCCTACCAAGCGTTTCTGCATACGTTCCTCCTACTTTCGTAGATTTGGCAAGGAAAAAGCTAGCAACATATTCATTTAAAAGCTTACCGAGAAGAAGCCCCAGTACCTTATGTTTTAAAGACAAGGTAAATATTTTTATGTATGATAAATAAAAATATGTTTCAGACTTAAGCGGGTGAGGACTGTCAGGACCACTATTCAGTAGAAAATACAGGGCCAGAGTTTTAACCTGTGTTCCTTACAACATTTTGCTTTTATGTTTTAACAATTTTCACACATAAAATCATTTTCTTATTCCTTCCAGGTAGAGCATAGCCCAAGGCCCATCTGTTGCCTACTTACCCCATTTCCAACCGAAATTACTACCAGCCTTCCAGCAATCCCAAAACACTCTGGCATTCACAACTTTTTAGTTAGTATTAGCACGTTGTAGGGAAGCATTAGAGTCTCAGCTTTATTGGGAGTTGCTCTTAAGCAAGATCAGAGCTTTGAATGATCTGTGCAAAATGATGGGCCATATCTGTCAGGCTGATGTCTTGGAGGAAACCAGTAGCTTGAAATCACACTTCTGTGACCCATCATTTTCCTTTCTATGCTACTTTTTCTTCCAGGATATCAACACTGCACCCGGACAGTACGACATCAGCTCTCCTCCAGTTTCCATATTTGCTTCCAAGTAAGTACATCAGACTAAAATTACATGACAGGAAAACTGGTTTGTGTACTTCAATACTAGCACACACCCGTGTCACTCATTTGCACACTTCAAACAAAGCCCAGTGAAGTCCCCCATTAACTTCAGTAGTATCTGGATCAAGCCCTAATTGCCCATCTTGAGCATCTCTGGGATAGCTCCAGGTTCAGCATATTTTTAAGCACATGCTTAAGTCCATACTCATTCAGTAAAACAATTAAGTCTGTGATTAACATAAGAGGTTGAAGCTTGTGATGAAAGTCAGGCATGAGCTTTGCTGAACTAGCACTCAACAAGTGTTTTTCATTTGAGACTGTCTCCAGTCAGCACCCCGAAAAAAACAGGGTTTCCGCTCCTGCAGAGCACATAGGTAGGTATCACAGAGGTCATAACCTTCAGACCAGAGCTGGCTAAAATCCACTTTGAAGATAAAAAGCCCTCAGGTTTATCTATGAACATGAGTGGGCAGTTTGCAGTAAATTCTGTTATATTGCATGTCAGCATCCGGAATGAAAACCAAATAGTCATTTCGTTACATATATAGAGAGAGTGTATGTGTGTATGTGCACATGTGCAGTTATGTAAAAACGGTAGAAAATATTGCAAAAACTGAGAGTATAAGTAACAATGATTACTCAAATGACAATAGTTTCTTCTTTTTCAAAACCTAGGCAGTTTATGTTTCGTTCTGTTGTCCAGAGGTCCTCAAATAATTACTTCATTCCCGTAAGTACTAAGCATATAAATATTCACGTTAATAAAACATGCATGGATATCTAAAATGCAAAAATGATGCATTTAATTCACATACATAGATTGTCACGTGCCAGCTGAGGTGAATGTTTGATCTGAGCACAGGCAAAATAATTCACATGAGCTTAGCCCGGAAATCCACTCAGCTGGTGAGTCTGGCTGTGGTGGCGGAAGAAGTTACCTGCTCCCATTCCTCTTCTAACCCTATCCCAGAGGTTCCCGTTCCCGCAGTGAAGCTGGAAGACCAGACTCCGTGTCTGCACGGCTGCTCATTGCCAGAGCCGGTTCCTTAGTCTCAGCTGCAGTAGAAGCTGAGTTTAAATCAAGCCGACTCCACTTAGAAGTTGTTCAAGCACTGATGTTCTCTTCTTTAGACTTCAATGTGGATGATAACCACAGCCATGGAGTTAGTAACCATTCAAAATATTACAGAAAAAAAAATTATCTACTATCTACCCTAACAATCAAAGTAACTTTATCGCAGCTGTGCATCATATCCTGTTAGCAGCAGGAAGGTTTGTTC